AATTGCGTCAAATATGCTGGCCCACATGCATGTGACACTTGCAGAAACCTCGAAATGAGCCCGTGAAATGTGCTCATTGTGACGAAGACTCTCTTCAAGTTATATAAAATTCAAAGTATACAATAAAATATTAATGCAGAGTTTTTTTGTAAAGAACATAGCTTTAAAAAGCCTAAACACAAATCATAAAAATTACAAACAGGTAACTGAAATTAGAAACCCGTCATATTTACATGAATTGTCAAAAAAACTATCCACTTCATAAAAAATGGCTTTCTACCTCAACATACATACATGATCCTCATCAGGACGTCCGAAAATCATATTAAAACATCATCATCAAGATACATCACCTCTGTACGTGAAGAGTGGATGGATATATATATATATATATATATATATATATATATATATAACCATCCTTAAAATCAACAATTGTTGACCCCTAATCTTTAAAGTTTAAATAGATGTGATTCTTTGGAAATCATGATGGGCGGATAGGATGGATTTTTACTGCATTCCATAAATATAGAAAAATTAAGTGTAAGGCTACCCTCGTTTATCGCGAAAACAGGCGTGAAGATTTTTTAAAAAAAGCGAGAAAGCGAGGAACTACAATATAAGAAATAGTTAGTGAACTTAAATTGCGTCAGAGACCAAAAACCTTGCCACTTACTTCGTGAGATGAAATAGTTGTCAGAGGACGATTTATCCGATAAACTTTTAAAAACATAGTTATTATATTAACTTCAAACAAAAATAAGAAGCATTTTAGCTATCAAAAAAGAGCTATTTCAGACGGAACTTTGGACAAACTTGCATATATTAAAATAAAAGAACGAAAAATTTTGATAGTTACAATATTCAATATCTCTCAGGTTACAACTACCTAAATTCATGTTTCAGACATTAAGGTACAATGCGTGAGAGGAGCAATGCTCTGCAATCGATTATGCACAAATAGCAGAAAAGCAGCCGGAGGATGACAGACCCAAAATTTTCAACGAAGCTTCAGTCACTTTGGTTTTTAAATTTTTAGAAGAAAATTGTCTCTGATCAAAATTATAGCATGGATAAAAATCTCATCCACCGAAGTCTCTCCCTCCCCGATCCCCAATTCCATGTAATCAATGTCCAACGTATAAAAAAGATCCTTTCAAATAATAATTTTCCTACCTATATCATAAAAAAACTGGCAAAAATAAAAATAAATATACTTATTTATTTTTATATATATATATATTTTTTTTGACTGATCATTCCAACCACTCTTCTCTTCAATTACTCTCTACATTCAACCATCAATCCATAATTACAAAATTATAGCACTTGCTCCAAATCATTTCTAAACCTCTGAGCATGTTTATTTATCTATCTTTAAGTTGTTATGTATATATCTACTTTTTTCTCCTTTTTAACTTTTATAACTGAATCAAAATATAATTGCTGATGACATCAGGGAATTTACGCCTCTAAGCCATAACAAACAACAAATGAGAGAGGAATTTATCAAACAGAGAGACATTCGATAGGGTACAGATAAACATAGGTTTTGTTAAAAACAAAAAGTCAATCCAATTTAAATTAGCGTTTTTAGAGTCCGGCCAATGGATTCCTCATATGTAATTAGTTCAATTGCGGTGATTTTTTCCTGCTTCTATTGTTCTGTACAAAGAACCATTTAATTATTCTTACTACTCCTTTGGTACGACCCAAGGAGCCCCTCAGGTTCGGATATCTTGAATCGTTTAATAGTAACATATATTAGTGGGCGGGGTAGTCGAAAGGCTAACGCGTGTGCACAGCACCGCCGTTGCTCGGCAACCTGATCAATACAAAAAAAATAAAAATAGATTGATAAAAAAAAATAGTCAGGAGTTTGTGTCCCGGTGCTGGGAGGGTTTTTTAAATCCCCGCCATCACCCCCTGGCCTGGGAAAACCCCTTATAGCCTTAAAGGTGAGGAAGGAGAGGACCACACAAAAAAAAAGTTATATATATTACTTAATAATACACTTTTCTAAGTAAAACTACTTATTTGTTTTTAATAATTCTTGTCACTGTTTTGAAGTGGTTTTTCTTTTTTAAAACTTAAACTGTATGCTAGGAAAATTTGAATTAGGAAATTGAAATTACATCGAATATGTTAGAAGCTAGGTATATGTGAAGGAAGAGGACCGGAGAAAGCACCATGGAGGGGATCCCGTTCTAGTATATATAGTTGAGCTAAAGGTATTTCGACACAGACACTCAACCAAGCTCAACAACAAACCATCAACCATGCAGCTCATGGTAAGTCAATGATGATAATTTATATCTTATTCAAGAAGTGATTCCGTAACCGATTACTGGCTTAAAAAAAAAAAAAAAAAAACCTGTGTCTCTTCATAGTGATACGACTTCATTGATTTTTGATAACATTTCATCATTTTTGTTAAAATTAAATACTCATCACCCAATCCATTTAGGGCTTCTAATATTCTTTTAATAATATAGAACTAAACAAAAATTTAAAAAAAAAATCATATATATGTAAAATATCTTCTTTTAAAAATTTGGTGCGGTGCGCATTTAATACAACTTTCATTTGCCTCTCTTCTCGGAGAAATTAAATTCTGGTCAAGTTTAGCTCATTTATATTTTATTTATTAAATTTTGTCAAGATCTAAAGTTATTAGGATAGCTTTTTCCTATCCGTCTCATCCGTTGACCTTATAAGTTCTTCGTCATTCCCCATTACTTTCCACCGTGTTTGTTAAATATTAATTTATCTAGAATTTTTAGCTTTCCGATGTTCTCTTCCATTACTACTCTTCTTTCTAGGAATAAGATTTCAACCTGGAAATATATATTTTGTATTTGTTATATACAGTATTATTAAGGTCATCAGATGGATACTGGTGATGCATTTTATATACGTTTTAGAATCAATAGAACGTTATGGTGGTTTCGGATCGGATACATTCCTCGACCATCTCGACCCCCTTGCCTTTTATATTCGGTTTCAGCATTACATAAATAGAATAAATTTTAGTCTGTTTTATAGCTAAAAATGGAGGATACAGTATCTTATTGAAAGAACTCACTGCACATTTTTCTTTCTCTGTTAACGAAAATAGTGAAGTTGTGTATACAAGCGGTAGATTAAAAAATATATTTGTTTTACAGAGTTAAAATGCCTCTCGGCACCTTCGATATAAATTTGGTGTAACCATGTGATAAATGGGCGACTTTGAAGCTATGTACAAGTTTGTTGTCTCCCATATAAAACTTCAATATATTGTATTTCACCTCATGTATTATTTTTTTAAATCATTATTCTATTATTAGTATGGTTTGAATAAGTGTCATTTTTTAGTTGTTTCATATAAATAATAATTGCCAAACCTAAAAATCTTAACTTCTGATACTGCCCCACTTTCAGTTTTCAACCAATTTTATTATAGAAAAAAAAAGTATCCTTCCATTCCAAGTGGATTTTTTTTTTTACAACCATTAAAATCACTTGATATTTAATCGCCTATATTTTAATACGATATATTTTTAAAAAAATCTAAAAATAAGTAAACAATGTCGATAAATAAATAATTAAAAGAGTGTTTTTTTTTCATTCTTATTATATTTACTTCTTAACTATTTGTTAATTGTAACTATTGTGGCAGAAAATATGTGTGTTTCTGTAGTAAAAAAATATTTAATTTCCGGAGCATTATTTCCAATTTTTATCAAGTGAGTACCTGTGTATTTGGAAGATTTAACGCTTTGCATTCAGGAGAGAGTCCTCTATAAATATAACCTACGTTGGTTATGAAAGGGGGATATTCCGGTAAATTTATAAGATAATAACGTTATTACTACTTTTATATAATTAAATATATAAAAATAAAATAGCAAATAGGAATGGTAATAGGCTAAAGGATTTGACTTAAAGGAAGAGGTTATCTAACCCAACACTTCGGTTCATACCGTTACTCGACCAACAAGAGGTCTTTTATTATTAATAACACTGCGCTAACGCTTTTTAATATATTTATTTATGTAAAATATTGATTTTTTTTTTAATTACTAAAGAATTTATTATAAAATAACTGTGTAGTGTTTTAAAATTCCGAAAGCGAAATATTTTAAAAGTGTATTTTTCTGCGAGTCACATTATAAAGTGCATCAAGTGCAGTTCCTCCTAAGACGAGCAGAAACTAACTGTTAGGTATTCTAACCTTGGAGCAGAAGAAGGTAAACAGAAAGAAATACTTTTCTGCCATGTTCGAAGGAGCCAAGACCTGTTGAATTAATGCAAGTAAGAGATACAATATAATTTTAAATCCTCAATTGAAAAGTTTTAAATACAGAAGTCAATAGACTTAGTTAGTACCGTAATTATTCCTTACGTGCGGGTTAACCCAATAACCAGCTGTGGTAAGGTTAACAATATTGTAATTACGGAGTAATTAAGATTGTAATTCTCAAGTTTTCCATAAAAAGGTTAATTAGATGAATAATATTGTGATTACGGATTAATTAATATTGTAATTGCTTAAGTTTTTTTTTATTAAAAAAACTGATAAATATCTTGGTTTTTGATTAATCGCATTGTTTCTTTTTTAGACGGTAGATTGAAGTTTAATATTACTATGTTTTTATTAAACGCTTTCTCCTAATTCTTATATTAACGCTTTAATATAAGAAGTAATATACGGTTTGGTAATTTATGCGTAAAATACTTTATTTTTAAACTTCGTTTCTATGGTCAACCCATATAACCGGTCTACTTTCTTAGAATCCTATAAAACAAAGAAAAAAGTGTGATCGAAAGAAGTTTAGCCGCTTAATCGTGAAAATTAGCCAAAAAGAAGTCCAGCATACAGATAATAATTTACACTTGGAATTTCATTTATAAAGGGTTATGTGACATCCTCAAGATTCGATAGTAAATAATAAATAAGTAACAAAAAAGATATACTTCAACCGGCTGTTTCATTGATCCAATCTAAATTATTTCTTTCAGATCGTATTGGTTGCAGCCTCAATGACGATAGCCGTGACCTGGGCCTCAGGAGAAAGGCAAGAACGAGGAATAGATCACCACGAAGGGTAATATAATATAATTTCATAATTACTAATAATTTACTTTTGCTTGGAAAATATATATTACATATATCACATGATATATATTACGAATAGAGAAGCAATTTTCAAACTACATGCGAATAAGTACGAATTCAAGAACTGGGAACTAAACCAGAGCTTATTTGGATAATGTAAGGAAGTTATCGTGAATCTAACTGAAGCGATCGTGGGTCGCCGACATCACATTATTTTCGACTATATACAATATATTCGACTATTACAATATATCTTGATTTAGCGTTTATCTTTTACCTTCACATCATTAGGGAATCATCATCGAACTATGATTTGTTATTTTTATTTTACTTATTTTTAACTTATCAACATCCTCGTTAAAACGTTCTTTAATAATGAAATTTTATCAACGTTCTTTAACTTTATTATCTTTTTTTTCATAACGTTATTTAATAAACCAATTCTTGAATTTTAATCCGAACTGATTTTTAAGTTACGAAATTTTTTTGGATTAAAATTTTCAGAGTAGAAAATATTTTCCTTTCTCTTTTGTAAATTCAAACTATTTTATTTTATTTTTATATATGTATTTTTTTCAAAGTTTCGCATTCACTAGTTCATGATTTAATGCGTGCTCCGCTGTGGTAAGATCTCACATAGATTAGACTATTTTATCATTTATATCGATACTATATTATATCAAGACAAGATCGATTTTTTTCAGATTTGTAAATCCAGTGATATGTATGTATATTTTTGAATATTTTTATGTTTAAATTTAGTACTTTCGATTATACGTTATTTCGAGATGGAGAAGTTTATAAGTCGGATCGCAACATCATTACGATATTCGTGCAACCTTCCCAATCTTCAAATAATATATTTCTTCCCTTACCATCTCTAGTTTATCATAAAATTCACATCATCATCTTCAGGCAGTTGGCGAAAGTGTTTATCAAGACGATTTTAAATCATGGGTTCTGAAATATGTCCCTCATATCAGATTATAATAGATTCCTAATCAGAAACCTGGTGTATAAACAGTAATTTCCGATCCTTGAGTACCAAGCTCCCTCTATCGAGCCCAAGCTAGCACAACGGACCTCAAGATCTTTAAGCAGACCATTACCAGGACATCTAAATCAGCAGAACATCTAAATTATGTTCCTTAACCTCGCTTGCGACTGATTTTAACCCATCTGCAGTATTAAAACTTGTTCCGATCCTTGATCCTGTACCTAAATCTAATTTTCAACTTGCGCTATAAATCTCCAGAGGCAGTCCCACCGAAGTAACATGTGCCAGGCCTTGTTCTATAATGTTTAACTTCTAAATTTACATTAGAATAAAGTGTAAGTAACATAACATTTACGTACAATAGCATTACATTACATTATTATAATATAATATATTCTCTTAATTATGTAATATCTTAACAAAATATTTGTGTTTCTTAAATTATAAAAGACGGGTTTGGGTTTTAGTGGAAAATTTAATGTTTGACTGGGTCCAAAAAAAAATTAACCCTGGGGCTCTTGGTTTCTCTCCACGGCTCTGCATATTCCTATCTTAAAAGGTATATTTCTGTTAAAAATCTGGATACTTTTCTTATTTTATATGTCATATGTATGTAAGGTAGGGGCCGTGCGTGTTAAATCATTACCCACTAATCATCCGAATCCGGCCTGGGCGTGTTGAAATTTATTTCCTGGCGAACGCAGAATGAATATCGACGTTCCCAATCTGATAAGTTAATGTAAAAATATCTGTTTCACAATGCATTGTAAATTGGGTGTGGAGACATATTTTACTGTGACGTAGCCGATATATATCTCATTGGAGTTTGCTCTCTATGCAATCTAGGTTAATTATTCGATACTTCCACCAATCGTATCTTATTACCAGGTACTGTTGGAATAACAATGAATCTTTTTGTAGCTATCAGAGCGGTGGTGGCGGATCCTACGGTGGAGGTCTCGTCCATTCTGTTGAAGTGGAGAAGCATGTCCAAGTTCCGATCTACAAGCAGGTCCACTACCCCGTGGCGCAGTACATCCCGCACCCAGTGGCAGTACCCATCCCTATCAAGGTGAGCGTTCAGATTAAGAAGCACGTGATAGTGCCGCCGTTCAATACAAAGCCAGTCTGATAACGATGTTTACGATATAGGTTCCTCACCCGATACCCGTGAAGGTACCTGTACCCATTGAAGTTGAGAAAAAAGTTGAAGTACCCGTCGAGAAGCATGTTCCAGTTCCGGTGGAAAAGCCGTACCCAATCGAGATAATCAAGAAGATACCTTACGCAGTACCCGAACCGTACCCAGTTCCAGTCCCTGTCTACAGAACTAAGCACATCTACCAAACTATTGGCGGTGGCCATCACCACCACCACCATTGAATTAAGGTAAGTGTAAGCTAAATATCTTCCTCATATTGATTTTGTTTTTTAAAAAATAAAATAAATTAAGCTACTTTTATTCTTATTATTTAAACTTTGACTATCAACTAGCAACTTATTGTTCTTGACTGGTCACATAAAAAACAATCATTTCAACTATATTTGGATCATGAAGCCTTCCTAAGGCATACATATATTGGTGGTATAGCATTATCCTAACCACATTTCCTTATAAAACTATTAGTAAAAACAATGCATGCATTACTTATTATTAATTACTGGACCAAAGTAGAGTTGCCCAAAATCGTTGCAATGTGCAAGACCAAGATCAAGGCCACCTAACTAATGCAAGACTAAGACCAGGACTAGTAAAAAAAAAATCGATTTTTTAACTAAAAATTAAGGCAAAATATTTTCTATTACTTGACAATCATAGTTACTATATGTTAATAGTTGCTATAACTAATATACTTTTGCAGTTAACTCCTCTAATTTTTCATTCGGGCTTAGTTAGGTTTCTCCTATCTAAAAACTACAGTAATACCTCTATAGTAATAAATTAATAAGAAACTGCAAGACTATTGCGAGACTCTTGAGCAGGACCAAGACCATGACCAAGACTGAGTTTGCAAGACCAAGACTCCTCTCGGTCTCCCATTTGGGTAACACTAGACCAAAGACATTGTAGGCGATATATTAATAAGGATTTATATTCATGAGTTCCTTTTACAATATTTAGTATTTCTTTTTCATAATTTTTTTAAAAATGTTTTCAATTAAGTAAATTAGTAATGTTAGGGTATAATCGATAAATTCCGAACATAAAGGCGTGAGACTTTAAAATGCAGGTAAACAAACTTTACTTGATATCAAAAATTTAGATATCATTATATCCTAAACAACTTCTGTGTATTTTTATTTAATATTTTGTCAATTATTTGTATCTTCCATGGATTTTTAATATACTTGTGGGTGTTTGATACACTTTTTTTTTTCTGATCAGCATTATATATGATTATATAGCTTCCTCATTCATTTCTCAGCTGATTTAGTATACTCTCCATTTTTCTTAAATATTTGTTCGGAGTGACGTAATATCTCTAGCTGTGTGTCATTTTTGGACTGTTGATGAGAGATGTGTTGTATTTAGTATGCACATATGAAGTTTTTTTTACCTTTACATTTAATACGTTGAAGGCTTTATGTTCGAAATTTCGTAATGATATTCTAGTATTTAATTGATGTCTCTTTCTGTGTTTTTAATAATTAGCTATCTATTTACTAACCTTATAGATATTTCATTTATAATTCCATTACTTTTAATTAATACATATGTATTATTCTTTATGTCTTTTTTTTAGGATGCCCGGCCAATGGATATGTCAAACGAGAAAAGACTGCATTTGTAAATAACCTTTGATAATCTGTACTATATTGTAATAATTGTTAAATACATTGTTATTGTTATTTTATGAAGTTGTTTTTTGTATATATTTATAATTTGCAATTTATATTAAACTGGTCGTCTTCTTAAACCGCATTCCGGTTGAGAGGAGGAGGGGATGAGGCCGAAAAATGTCTCTAATTTGAAGAATGTTTTTGAAAGTGCAAGTTGAAAGTACTATATGTTGTAATAATATTTTATAGATCATCAAAACCGTAATATTTTCTAATAAACTGACTTATTTGACGATAGATGGATCTTTTTCTAAACAAAATACCGCAACGTGTTGTATTCATTTAACAGAAGCACGTAAAAAACTAACTTTTTCGCTTCGACATTCTACTCATATGTAGACGGAAGGTATCTTTCCTAAATAAAACTAGCCCGACCAAGCATAAAAAAAAGGAAGTCTGGCGTGAGAAGAGGTAGTCGAAGGTAGTCGAGGTAGCCGAAGTTTGACGTTCGGCTGACGCAAGTCAAAAACCCACATTTTTACATCGAAATTTCACTTATATAAAGATACATGAAACCTTTTTTAAATAAAGCTAGTCCATTAAGAGACAAAAAAAAGTGTTCTACCGACCGGATTCTTTTTTTATTTTTTTTACTCTAAATTTCACTTATTCAAAGAAGATGGAATCTTTTCTGAATAAAACCAGCCAAACCAGCGACCAAAAAATAATGTCTGCTGACCGGAAGTGGTTGAATTATAAAAAAACAAAGTGGTGAAAAGCCTGAAGTGGGTGATGTAATCATTCACTTCGATGGCTGCTACGTTTAATTTGTGGTGTTGGTAACATGCATACCACAAAATTTACTTTATTCCTGATTCTATTTTTTTTTTTTTATTTAATTTTATAATAGTGTGATTTATAATAGTGATTTGGAGAAAAACGGGATTTTTATTTTAAGGCTATTCCAATCCGAATCATCCAGCCAAAGTTCGATTTAACATCTACTCCTACAGATGTTAATGAAAATTTATACATAATAAGTGAAAACAGAAATAAGAAATAATGCCAGATTTGACCAAATTCTAACGAGCTGTTTCTGAATTATAATAATTTAAAACTTTAAAATATATCTGAATTTCGGAAGACACAACTGTTTTGAGTGTTAAATCAATATTGATTCAAATGGAGCTATCAAAGTGTATTAATTTGTGCTACATTTGATGATAATATATTACAAGCATTATAATTTTTCATCATGGATAAAAAACTGTAATAGTTGTGATACAGACAACGAAAATATCTGTTACTAAAATCTTTCTCCACATACTTTGGTAGAACCGTATATTACTGAGATACTCTTTGAAAGGGCACAAAATTCTCGACCTAATGAAGAAATAATATATACACATGTAATCATGGTAAATACCTCACCACTAACATGAAATTCTCTATCAAATGATGAGATAATATTGAAGAGTTTTTTAATTTAGAGAACTTTGTTACAATACAAACCACTTTTTTTTCTTCTTTTTTTTTGCATGTTGCGAAAATGGTATGCTCAACAAGACAAATTTTTAAATTTAAAAAGAACAGAATAGAAATGGAATACTTACAACAGAATAGAAGTGGAATACTTACAATAGAATAGAAATCAAATATATTGAAAATAAAACTTTCAAGCTTTAACTTATATTTAAAACCTCAGGAGTAGCCTAGTAAATAAATGAATAATGAAATTTTCTAGTTAAAGCTCAATGATCGCCTTTAAAGTTCTATCAAAGTAGTTTCATGATTTGTTGATTTTTTTTGGAAGTTTGAATCAATCTTACCCGAGCAACAAGGAAAGATGTTAGATCTGCAGGTTTTTTTAAAGGGACTTTTATCTTCTTCTTAAAACCAGACAAAAATTCAGTGGGTACAGAGAGATACATAAATCATTGAATCAGCTCTTTTCTCATTTATACATAGGACTATTCTAATCCTCCTGTTACTTTCAAAAATATAAGCCAAGAAAGAACAGCAATTCGGTAATCAACAGTTGGTATTAAAAAATGTTTTGACTTAAACAGATGGCATTTATTTATATATTTCTTGCTTAAAATAATAAAACTTTTAGGTACTATTATGCTTAACTCTTTTAAAATAAAATCGCTAAAGCTTGTTTATTATTTTCAATTAAAAAGAAGCTAAGATATTTATAAATACACTGACAGGCAAAAAATTCCACACACTTGTTACCCATTAAGGAACCACGTTGGAAAGGTTGGCTCTGGGAAACATTACAGGCTGCATATCTTTCGTTTCTTCTTCTCCACATCCTTTCACGCCCGTCTGGAGATCGAAGAGCGAATCTTGACTCATCTGTAAAAAGTACAGCACTCCATTCGTCCATATTCCAATGGCTGTGTTCTCGAGCAAAAGCCCAGCCGTGTTACTCTGTGAGTTCTGGTCAACTCTGGTCCTCTTACTGGTCGAAAAGCCATTAATCCATACTCATTTAATCTTCTCCGAGCGGTACGTTCAGAAATTTGCACACCTCGAACTTCTTCGAGCTGATGAATCGCTTGAACAACGGTAAGGTGCCGGTTTCGTAAAATTCTCAAAGTCAAAAACCGGTCATCCCGTGGTTCTGTTACCCTAGGCCGTCCAGAACCGTTAACAGAACAGGCCGGTAACAGAACCGTTCTGTTACCGGGCCTTCTATTGTAAGAACCAGTTTCCTGAAAACGCCTGACTGCGTCTCGTAAAGTTTCATATGGAACTCCGATGGCATTAGCTGCATATCTAATGGAACGCCCATCATCAATAAGTGCCACACCACGCGCAACATCCTTAGAATTAAGAGCCATTTATAAACTTAATATTGAAAAAATTAAAAGCCGGAGACTAAGAAATGTGCTGCAAGAAACGGCACTGGACTAATGATACGGAATAAACATTTTGATTCCATAGAAAGTAAACATTGGAATATAAAATCATTTCATTGAATTAACGATTAAGGGTTATTGTCCTCTATATTAATATTCTTAATTGAAAACAAACAAAAAGATTACCTATTTATTCATTAAAAACAATAGACCAATTAAAAGCAGAGATATTTTTAGATGAAAACATCAAGTGGATGGAATTTTTTGCCTGTATATTACTCCTGTTTTAGTCCAAAATTTGAACAATATTAAAGATCTATTCACTCTTCCTGATATTTTAAGATTTCCCTTCGTAATTCTTCTTTTAACTACTTTCTTTCTTCAAAGTTTTAAGGCTCGTTGTACAATAGCCTAGTAAATGTAAGCCGACAACGAAATCAATATCATAAGCTGTAAATTTGAGGATTACTTCCTCAACAAATGTAGAACAAATCATGGAAAGTTCCCTCATTTTCTATGTCCGCTTTTATCAAAAATGATGGCTATCCAGTATTTGCTGTCATATTTTATATTATATTTCATGAATTTATGTTCAGTCCATTATTTTACTGGTTTCTACTAAATCTTTTTTCATTCTTCTGAAGTCAATCATATTTATATAGAGTGATATCAAACATAGAGTGGGCAAAACAAGTATTCGCACACCCTGTTTTTTGGCCAAAATGGGTCACTATA